TTCATAAATATTAAACAAATAAAAACACTATTATAGATATACTTGTACTACTCTTTCCTATAATTTAGTAACGTTTGAATACACAAAAAATAATCTTTATCAAGTATTAAATAAAGATTATAATAATACAGATAAAATCTTTATAAAGATTCCAGATAAAGGGACAGATGCGCCTTTTTTTTGAGCAATCATACCTTAGTCTTAGAAAGTGGAATTTTTAGCAAACACAATAAATAATAGCGTTTACAGTTCACAGTTAAAATTTGTGTCTAGAATTATCTGTGTTTGAATGTTAAAATGACGACTCGTCAATTTAAGATACTCTGTGATATATAGAAAAGACATATATAGAAATAGTGAGTTAAATTCCTAGTTTGAAGTATTTTTAAAGGAATGATGTGATTTTTGTACATTTCTAGTACTTCTGAAGACTATTTACATATATTCAAGACTAAAATCAACCTCCAAAATGGCTCACTTACTCCTTTAAGATGATTTTTCTAATATATTAGTTCGTGTGCTGTATTTGTACTTCAAGAACTTTATAAACTATAATTTCTTTATTAAAACCTTTCCTTATTAAAACCTTTAGAGCAGATAGTTTTTTAATGTAACTGTTTTTTTACTAGTCGTGTTGTGTTTTTTAGCTGTTTTTTTTTCATTGTTTGAAAAGTAGCTGAATGTAAAAACCCTTGATGGTATTCTACAAGTTTTGTATGTTTTTGTTACTTTAGGTGTAGGTTGTGCTTAATATCTTTGAGTAAAATGGCTAGACCGGTTTTTTCCAAGAGTTTTTGTGGTCTTGTTCGTGAAATACATAATTCGTCATGCCAACACGTAGAGAAAGATGCCTCTACCTTTTGTATAAGTTTCAACGTGAAAAAACCAAGTGTTAAGTCACAATCGATAGAATAATTAGTAAACGGTTACATAGATATTTCAACTCTCACATTGAAAATAAACTGGTCTATCCCTTTAAACGTTGTATGTCTCCTTCTTCCATATTGTTTGGTGTTTGTGTTATATACTCCTTACTTCTAAATGTTCTTCAAGTCTTACGTAATTTCTTTAACTAATTTATGTAAAATGCAGAAAAAAATGACTTACCTTGTAATTCCTCAAACTGATTTTCGACCGACTGTTGTAAACAGATATCAGATTTTCCGTCCCCAGCACAGACTTGACGCTGTTTTAAAACTGGACAATGTTTTCCGCCATTTTCAGGATGAACTTTGACCTTTCGTATACGTTTTTTACTGCCGTATCCACATGGATTATCACATTCAGACCAATCACCCCAGTCTCCAACTTGACAGTCCACGGCTGGAATAGACAAATTTTCAAATATAAAATCAAAATGAGGGGATGGTTATTGTTAAAGGAAAAGATGCGCCATTTTTTTGACCAATCATACTTTAGTCTCATAATCTGGAATTTTATAGCTAAGCCAATCAGTAATAGTGTTCACAGCTCACTGATGAAATTTGGGCCTTCAAATCCATGTGTGTCGAGAATTATCCGAGATTGAATGTTAAAAAGACCTTTCATCATTTTAAGATACTCTGTGATATATAGAAAAGTATAAGTGGAGTTAAATTCCTAGTTTGATATATTTTTGAAGGAATTATGTGATTTTCCTACACTTCTAGTACTTCTGAATATTATTTATATATATTCAAGAATAAAATCAACCCCTGAGAATGGCACAACTGTCCCTTTAAGAAGGATCAGAAGAATCTGTGATAATTTTCCCAGCAGAAGAAACTGAAAATATCAAATTTTATATTGAGGATAATTTTGGCTGTAAATTAAATGGATAATGTTCAAAACAATGTAGAAACAACTGCATGTGTTTATAAAACACCAAAGCAATATGGGGTGTTACTAGTCCTGGCATGATTTATCATATTTTGGAATGAATGGCAACACCCAGCACAACTGTAAGAATCTGGCATCTTTCCTACTTTACTGAATAAAAATCAGCTGGCAAATTCATAAGAAATATAATTTTTTTATGGACTTTCATATGGTACAGCTGGTAGCAGGCACAAATTTCTGAAGCTGAAACATTATTTTCTTATAGACTTTGAAAAGGGTACAGATGGCTACAGGCTACAGTAAAATCATGATGAAGATTGAACATGTTGACCCCAAAGTTCTGGATTTCTCTCGTCATTCCCATATTGAAAGACTTAACCTTCACGATCTCATATGGAATATTCTAAATAACGGAATTGTTTCTTTGAGAAATGTCGGCGTGACCTAACCATCTGGTATTTGTCAATATTAAGATTTGAGGTTTTTCTGGTAATTCTTCAGAATTCAAAATAAAATAAAATGATTGATGCCTTTTATTTCTGTTTTTCAATTGTATTTATTAAAATATTGACAATCTTTTTGTTTCTTTGTTGAGCGAGATGATTGATAAATGCTGCTTTTGTTGTTATTAAACTATTACTCAACTTTTTGTTTTGTTGAGCGAGATAGATTGATTAGTGTCAAACTGTTCTAAAGTTTTCTTGTAAAAAAAAAAGATGGAGGCCTTCAAAGTTTTTGTCACTGTTAAAATTTACATCTTTAAATATTTAGGTTCACACCTTTATTGACAAACTTGTTGGTTTGTTGAAGATTTGAACTCATATCACCCAATTACCTAGCTTACAAAGATAGACAAGAATAAGGTACAGAAATGAAGGACGTAAACTTCTGTTTCAAGCTCTATCTTATTTCACTCCGTTCTAACCTTTTAGACACCAGTACCCTTTTCTACGTAAGGATGATGCCCTGTCAACAAAAAATTGGGGATTGCTTGCACAAAATGGCAGAAATTTATAAACATGATGCTACGTATTTAAACTGTCTAAGGAGTCTTTCAGGTGTCACCTGTGGTGCTTGTCCCTACCCCCCAGGTAGGCAGAACGAGTACACATACAACAGATAAGGAACCAGGGCACATACTTTTGAAATGATCTTAGCGCTAGGCTGTCTAAGAATCAATGTTAGAAATTAAGAAGCTATGACATCCTAGAATCAATGTTAGAAGATAAGAATCTAGGATGTCCTAGAATCAATGTTAGAAGATAAGAACCTAGGATATCCTAGAATCAATGTTAGAAGATAAGAACCAGGATGTCCTAGAAACAGTGTTAGAAGATAAGAACCTAGGATATCCTAGAATCAGTGTTAGAAGATAAGAACCTAGGATATCCTAGAAACAGTGTTAGAAGATAAGACACTAGGATATCCTAGAAACAGTGATAGAAGATAAGAACCTAGGATATCCTAGAATCAATGATAGAAGATAAGAACCTAGGATATCCTAGAATCAATGTTAGAAGATAAGAATCTAGGATGTCCTAGAATCAATGTTAGAAGATAAGAACCTAAGATATCCTAGAATCAATGTTAGAAGATAAGAGCCTAGGACATCCTAGCGCTAAGATCGTTTCGAGAATACATGGCCAAGGTCCTATTGCTCTGAGCTGTAGTGTAACCGAACATAATTTCACCAACCTTGTTTCACTTTGTATATATTAACAGTTTTAATTAAACCTTTAAAATCTTACTACAATCTTATTAATCTTTTCAAAATTTTAATCAAATTGAAAAACTTTTAAAGAAACATGTTGATAAGTCAATAAATGAAGACGTGAACACGTTTCAAAGATCAACAGACGACGCAGGTGGTCGTCCAATTATATTCTCCCTTTCATTATTGTATCAAACTTTAAAATATATTTGACTGTTTCCATACATTATAGGGTGAAATTAATATGGGTATTTAAAGTGGTAGAGTCAGAGATTAACACCTAATCCTGCTCAACAGTAGGTTTGTCAACTCAGCATCTCATCCCAAACAATATAAGCTCTTTCTTAAGCTATGTGGACTCTCTGAATGTGATTTTGAGATGACTGAACCAGGCTGCAGCTATAGAGTCAGAGATAACATTAAAAGCTGATTAAGAGTTGAGTTGTGAACTAAGCGTCTCATCTCAAACATTATTGGCTCTTAGGCTATGTGGACTCTCTGGGAGGCCAGGATAGCAAACTCAACATTTTGTATTTATGCTCTTCTTTGTCACTTCAGCAAGACACGATAACTTAGGTGTCTCCTAATCTCCTAAGGTTGAGAATTCTCAGCAATATTGGGCAGTATTCGGTTCTTGACATGAGAAATTGATGTACAGTAAAATATAAAAAGTGAAGAGTGTATCTTTAACTTGTAATTCATGCTTTCTGCTTTAATTTTTACACAGTCATTCACATAGACGAACTCAAAGTCAAAATAATTTGTATTAGGGGGGACATAAAAGGGTAATAAATTATTAATTTACTCTAAGGTCTATCAGGATATAATAAGCCTATTGTCTAATTTTCCCACCTGGGCCTCGGGTAAGTTCAGTCGGTGAATTCATAATACATTTGGCCCACCTGGATTTCTAATGAATCAAAATGAAAAAATAATCTTTCGACTTGGTTAAATTGGGTACAATTTATTTGAGTTTGTGTCATTTTAATGCAAAACTGTGTTTGATCATTTCTAATTTGTCAAATTTACACTTTTACCTTTTTTTTGTCAAAATAATATTTATCCTCTAAGCCAATTATCTTTCAGCACAAAGAGTTTCCTTATATACTGATGGAGCTCAATTTAACATTTAAATGGTACACGCAGCATTCAACTCAGTTGGATTGTCGTCTGCTAAGTTCAAGTCTTCCTCAATGTAAGGAGAGTTCTGATGCCTATGTTTAAGAAACAATGCCTGTGTTTAAGAAACTAATGCCTGTTTTTAAGAAACTAATGCCTATGTTTTAGAAACTAATGCCTGTGTTTAAGAAACTAATGCCTGTGGTTTAGAAACTAATGCCTGTGTTTATGAAACTAATGCCTGTGTTTAAGAAACTAATGCCTGTGTTTAAGAAACTAATGCCTGTGGTTTAGAAACTAATGCCTGTGTTTAAGAAACTAATGCCTGTGTTTATAAACTAATGCCTGTGGTTTAGAAACTAATGCCTGTGTTTAAGAAACTAATGCCTGTGTTTAAGAAACTAATGCCTGTGTTTAAGAAACTAATGCCTGTGTTTAAGAAACTAATGCCTGTGGTTTAGAAACTAATGCCTGTGTTTAAGAAACTAATGCCTGTGGTTTAGAAACTAATGCCTGTGTTTAAGAAACTAATGCCTGTGTTTAAGAAACTAATGCCTGTGTTTAAGAAACTAATGCCTGTGGTTTAGAAACTAATGCCTGTGGTTTAGAAACTAATGCCTGTGTTTAAGAAACTAATGCCTGTGTTTAAGAAACTAATGCCTGTGGTTTAGAAACTAATGCCTGTGGTTTAGAAACTAATGCCTGTGTTTAAGAAACTAATGCCTGTGTTTAAGAAACTAATGCCTGTGTTTAAGAAACTAATGCCTGTGTTTAAGTAAGAGAATATGGTTCTACTATCTCTATGAATAATAAAAGAATAAAGAAAATGAAAATATCAAGCCAAGTGATTTGTGGATGGTTTACGATGATTTCATGTCTTCCGTTAACTAGCTAACAAGATGTAGGATCAACTCCTGTGATCTCATAGCTAATAAATATACCCTTTACTCAGAATAAATTTCTCTTTATAACTGGTGAATACAGCAATAAAATACACAGCTAATAATCTGTCCATCACTCAACGGATGCTGATTTGGCCGTATTTACCAGTCGTGTCTAGAGCTTTATACCATTGATATGGTTGTATTTACCAGTCATGTCTAAGCACTAGGTTGTTCATTTGTTTAGTCAGATATGACTGGTAAATAAAATCATATCAACAGTCTAGAGCTCTAGTCAGACATGACTGGTAAATACAACCAAATCAACTGTTTAGATCTCTAGCCAGACATGACTGGTAAAAACAATCAAATCAACATCCCTTGCTTACCGAGAAAGTCAGTGTACGATTGAAGGAGAGAGTATATCATGTGGACTAACTGTATATTTTGTCAACAAACTGTTTGCTAACTTCACTATTAGTCTGTGATACATTCAACAAAGTGACCACACAAGTTGACTCTAATCATTTTACTACTAGTATCAAAGAGAAATCAAATGAAATGGAGTTTTTCATCCTAATCTTCTGCACCGAACAGACTAAAGACGGGCAATGCCATGCAGTGTGCAATGAGGGAAATTTTGTCAGGACAGCAGTGTTACATTAGCATATTCTTTTTCAATTTCCAACTGTCAAGGGATCTTTAATATGCTGTAGCTGTCACAGTTTATTGTCCCATCTAGACGCTTTTTCCATGTCAGCCCATCTTGCCTGCATCACTGACAGGGGGAAACTAGTCAGAAGGTATCATCTTGATAGTATCATAGAGAGACAAGCATCATACAAGTTGGAGCTCAAACTTTTTAGTACGCATGCAGATGGATTTTTTTTTATCAAAAACTCGGAATTCGGTGATCTAAATGAAACAAGAGATAAATTTAATAAATAAATGTTTAAAGAAATTTCTCAAATTTCAGTCAAATGTCACTTCTGGATGACATAAAAAAACAAAGTCAAGAGATAACTATTCTCCAGTGTACAGTAATGTCACAGACTAGACAATGTTCTACAGTTTCCATTATAAACTACTGTCAAATATAAACTGAATCAACAACCTTAGTGAAATCAGTAAACATCTTTCAGACGTCCATTTCCCTACATTAAATTATTAATTGCATCAACTAATGCATTATTCTTGTCGGAATTTGACGTTTGATCTGAGAATTTTCCATTTGAGAAATTTTTACAGTTTTGATTTAATGTCTGGCAATATTCCATAGCGGCCAGGATAATATACTCTGGTATGTTTTAAAAAATTATTGCTAGTTATGTTCTGAATCATCCCAGAGATATTTTAGGAAATACTGTATCAATCCAAAGACTGAAAAAACTTAAATTATTTCAACTTTCGGTTTTTGCTGATGTTGTGAAGCTGCTTTGTTTCGCGTCTGTTAAGATGAAATTGATCAAGTTGTCACGTTAAAAATACTTCGGTTGCACTCAGACCAAGATATCTAGTTTCCATGACAAATTGACAAGACATTTTTCAACTTCGATGAGTTTTGACCCTCATTTGTCAGTCAACGTCTGCAAAAAGAGTATCAAAGTTAGACAACTCCCGACAATGATTATGTAACATGTTGGCAATCGTCTGTCAACGCTGACAAATGATTGGATAAATAGGACCACCCTGTCTGATTGAGTTGCCCTTAACGATACGTTTGTAATAGGCGGATAAATTCTAACAATTAACAAAATTGAATTTTCTGCATTTTTCACCGCCTTTTATCTGTTGCACTCGGCGACTCTTCACAATGTTAAATTTCGGTTTAAATTGGCTACGTTTATTCATCAAGTGGAAATAAGTGCATATAACAAGAATTTTGGGCAAAAAATCAACAAATGCAAAATGTTTTTTTTTCATTATGTAGACAGACATCATCCCAATTTTCTGCACCTTAGCGGCTAATAGAATTAAAATTAAATTAAACTATTCAAGTGAAATTTTATTTGTATTATTTGGGGAACAAGAGGGGACACAATGATATTTATGACTGATATAAAGTCAAAGTTTTTTTTACAGAATTAAAGACACCATAGACAAGAAATCCTAATGATGTATATAGAATCATTTAATTCACCTAATACATATACATAACTAGAAGATCTATTATGAAATCCAAATACTCAGAACTCGGTGATCTAAATGAAACAAGAGATAAATTTAATAAATAAATGTTTAAAGAAATTTTTCAAATTTCAGTCAAATGTCACTTCTGGATGACATAACATTACAAAGTCAAGAGTTTACTATTCTCCAGTGTACAGTAATGTCACAGACTAGACAATGTTCTACAGTTTCCATTATAAACTACTGTCAAATATAAACTGAATCAACAACCTTAGTAAAATCAGTAAACATCTTTCAGACGTCCATTTCCCTACATTAAATTATTAATTGCATCAACTAATGCATTATTCTTGTCAGAATAATACACATGCATAATTAGAATATCTATTATGAAACCCATATTTTGAGAAAATAGTGCAAGGAAACTCAAAATAGTGTGATACAAAATACACAAAAAACATAAGTGGTCTGAGAAAAATACTAGATAGTAATCTGATTGGTTGATTAAAATTAAATGGGTGACCAATCACATGACTTGAAAACATCTCATACTGTATCTGAAGTTATACTGGTGGTTACGCTGGTCTCAGTAAACTCGGACAGTTTGACATAATATTACTGGACAATTCAAGTCATCCACTAGTAACATATAATCAACAGTAATCTGACAATAACTGGTATAATTTGTCAGTCAAATTACTAACGATATCAAATAAAATGTCAAACACTGGCTTATTAACCTCATTCTATACTACTGGAATTCAAACAATGTTACAGAGTAATTATACCATTTCAAAAACACCTGATGGTACTTCTCCTTAGAGGAGTCAACTACTATACAACTGTTACTCTCAATACCTATATAGTAGAGGTAGTAGAGGCGGGTGTCACACACGAAGCAGACCATGCTTACTCTTTTCAAACACCTGATGGTACTTCTCTTTAGAGGAGTCAACTACTATACAACTGTTACTCTCAATACCTGTATAGTAGAGGCGGGTGTCTCACACGTGAAGCAGACCAGGCTTACTCTTTTAAAACACCTGATGGTACTTCTCTTTAGAGGAGTCAACTACTATACAACTTTTGTCATACTTTGGACGAGATTTTGATTAACTCAATTGTCTTGCTTGTACAGATATTTTAAAAATTTAAGTAATTATCGGGTCCATGAGATGAATTTCTATATCACTGCCATAAAAAAGGACGCGCTTTCAACGAGCTAATTTGAATTCTGAGTTTATTATTCTGAAGATTTCATGTAATTTCATAAAATCTCTTTTTGATTCCATTAATCATATTTTCATTGGTTTCTGCTTCGCCGTATTTGCATAGAAATAGAGTTATGATTCTGAATTATCATGATTTTAAATGGAATAAAACTAGAATCATTTCTTTTGCAATTCAAATGAAGACGCAATAAATCTAAAATATTTCTTTTATTCATATTTTAAAGCATGTTAAAGATTCCTGGAGAATTGGGTCTCAAAACAGTACTCTCTTCCAGACAACTGATAACACTTTTCATTATGAAATACTTACTTACTTATGATTGATATACTTCCTCATGTGAAAAGTTCTTTTTACCAATGTTTCGCCAATATGTTATTTTGGATTTCGGGTTTTATTTTGCAACTTGGATCGTTAGTATTTGGTTTCTTTATATGATAACACTTATCATTATGAAATACTTACTTATAATTGATATACTTCCTCATGTTAAACGTTCATTACTTTCTATCAATGTTTCGTCAATATGGATGGTTTAGATTTTGGGCTTTGTTTTGCAGTTTGGATTGTTAGTACTTGGTTTATTTTTTGTCATTATATTTCATAATCTCAACAGGGTTCACAACAGTAGGACTGACCCAAAATAATGCAGACATGGAAATCGTTTGATTACTGATTGCTTATCGAGCAAGTGGCATTTTCTACTCTAACCCTTGACCTCCCGTGACCTCTAGGGTCAGCTGAGAATATTTAATACTAATCAAGAAAAGATAACTTATCAAAGATCAAGATTCAAAAACATTTTATTTCTTTTTAATTGAACATTTAGTTTCCATGGCAATCAAAATCTTACTCCCATCTTTTGTGTAAAGAAATCCTCCAAAATATCACTTCTGCCCTAAAATCTGTAATTTCCTTTGCCCATGGATACGTCATAGTTTTATAAGAGATATTCCCTACAAAACTTCATTGTTTATATATTGCTTTCATGCATGAATCAGCCCCATTCTTTTTATTGAATATAGAAGTCATTGCGCTCCTACTACACTATAAAACTACAGTATAAAACAAGATATTCCATCTATAAACATAAGACTGTGCTTTAAATTTCAACTTTATTTCTCAAATAGATAATTGATGTAAAAGAAATATGTTCTCTTTTTGTGACCCAGGCCAGTGTTTCTGTAGGAGAGTATCTTCTATAACAACATATCACAATGTAAGAATTAATATGGAAGGTATAAAAGATGTATAACTATATGAATAATTCAATAATAACTTGACAGTGACCAGGATGGTGATAAGACAAGGAAAGGTCGTGTACATCACACCTAGATACCACTTGTTGAATAATTATCATATATAATATAATAAAACATTATAATAACTATGTGAACTCTCCAAAATGGAGTAAGATAATAACTGGTGGCTATGTGGACTCTCTGAATGAGGATGAGGTGTTGAGAAAGACTTATCTCCAAGAAAGATAGTGATAGCCATTATAGTATGACCACAATTGTAATGGAAGCCAAGTGATCCA